GTAAATACCCAGTAGTGCAATTGCTGGATCCTATGGTAGCTCTATTTTCAACTTTTTGAGGAACCTCCATACAGTTTTCCAGAGTGGCTGCACCAGCTTGCATTCCCACTAACAGTGTAGGAGGGTTCCCCCAGAAATGTTATTTTTTAAAACTTGGAATCTTTGGAAAGATCAATTTAAAACAACCTTCAACAATGAAGATAAATCAGACAGACAAAGCAAAATCAGGAAAAAGGCCACAAGGGCAGGTACACATAAAATAACTATAAAAACATACTTGAAACAACTTTAAATATTTGAAAAAGTACATAAAATGGGCAAACTCATAGGAAGATATAAATTACCATAATTATACCAAGAATAAAAAATTTATTAGACTAATAACTCTACAAAAATGGAAAAGCAGTGCAAAAAAAAAAATCTACCCTTTCAAAAAAACAAACAAGATACCAGGTTCAGAGCTTACAGAAGGCGTAAAATTCCCCCACCATTTAAAAACATTGCTAATTGCAAACGTTTGATACCAAAAATAGGCAAAGAAGAGAAAAATATTTAAGAGATAATTATTGGCAAATAATGGGTAGATGAAAAAAGTAGCTAATTGAATTCAATGGGGTATATTGGTCTTGGTCTTTGACTAAGAGTTTTCCTTAAAAATGAACGCATGAACATTAGAAAAATCTCTTAATGTAATTCACCACCCTAACCAATTAAAGAGTAAAAAGCATATAATTGTATCCATGGATATAGAAAAGGAAGCAGCTGAAAATTTAGTAGCCTTCTCGTGATAAACTTGCAGATAGACCGGGAATAGAAGGGAACCTCCTTCGTCTGATAGAGGGCATCTGTCAGGGATGTACAGCAAGCATCCCCTTTCATGGGGACTAAAGCATGAGAAGCACTTTAAAGATTTGAGGGAGAGAGCACGCGTGAGCAAGCGCCGGAGCGTGAGAGGGAGGGGCAGAGGCAGAGAGAGAATCTCAAGCAGAGTCCCAGCAGAGCGCAGAGCCTCATGTGGGGCTCGATCTCAGGACTCTGGGATCACAACCTGAGCCAAAACCAGGAGTGGGATGCTTAACCAAATGAGCCACCCTGGTGCCCCATGAGAAGCATTTCAGTTAAAATTTGAAAAAAGGAAAAATGCCCCTAAAACGGCTAGCATTCGATACTATATGATAGCTCATCACTGGGTGCAACGAGATATAAAAAGTCAGAACGGAAAAGACAAAACTGCCAAAATAGACAGATGATGTAATCAATGTATTTTCTCCCTTCTCAGAAAAAAACGCCATCCACTCCAGATTTTTCAGTCTTTTTACATCTAAACTCATCTTATGTCAGATAAACATACACTAAGAATCCTCCATTTTCTAAAGATGTACTCGTTTTCCAGTTCATAATTTCAATATATCAGGGTTTCCTTTTCTTTCTCATGGGTTTCAAATCCCTTGTATTTCTAATTCCAAAGAGCTGCATAAATATTTGAATGGAACTACTGGAAAACCTGCAAAGGAGGGACATGGACAATTAACTGATTATCTTTAGGTCTTGGTAAAACCTGCTGCCCCCCCGCCAAGCTTTCCTGTAGGTGCCCTGCAGACGGCTTCCATGGTCCAACAAGGCTGCACCCTGGGCCCCCCAGCAGTGGTAAATACTCTACATACGTCTCTCTCTCTCCACTGTGGGGCTCCCTGGTCTTAATGGCTTATGAGGCCAAGTGGTTCCAGGTTCTCCCGAGTCAATGCTTTGGGGCCATGAGAGATTAATAAACTGCCCTTCTTTCAAGTACTCATGCCTCAGTCTGCTGGTTCTTAGAAAGGGAGCCTCTCCTACTTTGACAGGTGTCTAAGAGAAAGGCACAGAGCAGGCACCAGAACTAGGAAACACCCAGGAGCCAAAGTCCCAGGGAAGCTGGTGGATCTGGGGTCTGATCTGCCTTCAACCTGTGGGAAGGCCTGTCTGGGGCTCACGGCAGGAAAGGCAAATAAGGCTGGGTCTGCTGTCGGCACAAATGTGGGGGGAGATGTAGGAGAGGCAGAGTGACTCCAGGCAGGCCTCCCTTTGCATCACCTTCCTCAGGACGAGGTCCTCCGCTTTCCCTGGCCATACGCGGCGATGCTCTGGAGGGGGGGCGTGCAAAGCAGGGCTGCTCGCACGCAGCACAGATGCCACGGCCCCGGTTTCTGCTCTGTTCCCTGCACCTGGCTCGTGGGCTGTGCTCCGCGAGTACTTGTTGAAAGCGTCTAGGAGTGAATGAGTCACAGTTCCAGAACGTTCGAATTGGAAGGGGCCGCGGAGACCCGAGTGTGAGTGGCTTGCCTAATAAAGCCGCACCCTTAAACACCGCTGGGTCCTGAGCCAAGGGCTCCTCTCCATCTACTGAGCAGAGCAGGACGGCGCCCTGATGCAAAGGCTTCGCTCCTGTGGGAAACCCCAGGCTGCCTGCACACACACGCTCTGTGGGATTGGGCCGATGAGCCCCCTGTCTAATGAGATCCCCAGACATCAGGAGATTTGGATCTTGCTGCTACAGCTGTCTTGGGGATAGTCACTGTGGCTTTGGGGAGAGACCCCCCCCGAGTCCAGGAACACCGTCCTCCCTCACAGCCTACAATCCACACTTAAGGGGCAGGGCTATGGAAGGCACTGGAGAGCCTGGTGCTGCTCTCTGCTTCTCCTACATAGGGCCAATCAGGAGAGGAATTAACCGACAGGGCCTGGTGGGTTCTCAGACCGCCTCCTGGGCCTCCCTTCAGAAGGTTCTGTGGATCTGCGCCTGCTCCAGCCGAGCGGGAGCACTAGCTGTCGTGGGTCTGGCTCTCAAGCCTGACTCTCTGAAGCCGGCCTGGCGAGAGCTAAGTCGCCCCCCGTGACTCCGTAAAGCAGGGATTCTTGTCTCACTGGGTGGGGGCCTCACCGTCGCTGCTCTGTTGCCATGGATGCCACCCTTTCTCTCTTTTGTCCTGGGAATTCTGTCAAGGGGAAACATGAACGTACAGCCATGCTATCAAACTTTGGGAATAAAAAGCATCATAAATAAAAAAAAAAAAAAATCACTCAAAGGGTTATCCAAACATTAGCCTAAGAAAATCTCAGGCAGAACTTTCAGAGGGCTTAATCGGTCCATTGAGCCCAAAATAGAGCGTTCAGGGCATCACACAGGGTGAGCCAGGGGAACTGGGAACGTGCCGTCCAGCGCTCACCCTCTATCACGCTCCTGGTGTACGGGCCTGGTGGCGAGCCACGGAACCTCGGACTCTGATGGAGTCAACCTGATCGTCCCCTTTACACCAGAAAAAAACCTATTTCCTGAATGTAGAAGTCCCCACCATTTCCTGCCCCAGATATCAACCTGGGGCCAGGCTCACACATCAGGGCTTCATGAGTGCAGGGGCCCACGCAGGGGGTCCGGGACGTAGGTATGCCAGCAGAATCACTGCACTGGGGATGGCTCATCAGCCCAGCCCATACCCTCCCCCGTCCTGGGGGCCCGCTCCCCCACTGGCATGTTTCCTGCCCAGCCCCCTCCTCCTCCTGCTGCCTCCAAAATCTAGAAGAGCAACCCTGAACCTGCAAACTGCTGTATACATTCTAGCTAAAGACCAGCCACCTTCTAACCTTGAGCCGGGCTTGGGAGAGGAGAAGTGAGGATAAAAACAATGACCTACAACATTCATATCTTGACATCTGTGCTCATCTTTACCAATAGTGACCATTTATTGGTGGCCTTCTGTATACTGGACCCTCTGCCAAATGCCTTCCAGCCATCTTGTCATGTAATTCTTCCATCAGCCCTCTGTCGTGGAGATCGGTCCTGCCTTCACCTTATAGGGGCAGACACTCCAGCCTGAAGGGACAAATGTTTCTAGGGTCACACGTGAAGTAGGTGGAGCTGGGGTTTGTTCATGGGGGTGTCTGGACTCCAGACCAGCCCTAGCTCCATCCAAATTTCAGAATCTAGAACTGGACAGGAGGTGGGAAGTGGGGACTGGGTTTCTAAGTCAATGATTAAAGAAATCAATGACAAGAACCATCCATGAACATGAGAAAGAGTGCATGTGTTGGGGGAGGGGGTGTCTGACATACGAGAACCCAGTAGGGAGTGGGGAAGGGGAGGTTGGGTGAAGGAGCAGAAATTTCATGTACTGTTGGTCTCTTATATATCAAGAACTATGCTTGGCTTTCTACACATAGTAATTCATATGATCTCCATAGTAACACTGTGAGAATATATTATTCTATTTTATAGATGAGTAAATGCAGACAAATGAAGTGAGCAAAGAAAAGCATCCCTCCACTTACGCTGGGGTTAAAGCCAGAGACTTCTATAAACTTATAGTTACTGGTACTTCAAACCTTTAGGATGTTTCAGATGCTTTACTGCATTTAGAGACTAGAAAACAAGCAGAAATGACCCTCCACACAGAAGGGGACGAGGGTATTGAAACCAGTGGTATTTGGGGAACATAGGAAGGAAGCAAGGAGCAGGCTCTGGATCACAGACTGTCCCGGGTCCACACACAAGACTCTCATCAGGGGGAAAAGCAGTGTCTCCTCACTGCCTCTTCTAGACATTGGATTTTGAACTTGAACCATGAGGAAGGCAATGCTCTGTGCTGTGAGCAGAGCTGGAGCTGATCTCCTCCCTCCCAGAAGCGTGCCTCCAACCGCAATCTGTCCCTGGCTTGAATTCTTGTCTTACGGGTGTCCCTTCACAACTGGCTCTGGCAGGTGCAGCTGGACTAAAGCAGGTGAGCTGGGGTGGACATCCAACACCGTGCACTAGAGCCTTCTCTGCTCTGCATCTACTCCAGCCAAGCACGTGAGGTGCTTCTACCACTCCCTGCACATATTTACTCTCTTTCCCAACCCCCTGCATCAGCCCCCAGTGCCAGGTCCCTCAGAACCTTGGGAAGTCCTGGAGAACCCGGCCAGTGTCTGAAGACTGAGAGCTTTGGAAACCTGGAGCAACACCAGATTTGAGTGTTTGCACATGGCCAATGAGGACCCTGGACCAGCCTCCTGTTTCCAGCCTAGATGTTCAACCTTCCCGCTTCATCTCTTTCAGACCCAGATTCTCCTTGACGCCAAGACCCAACTTCACTGCTGTGACAGAGTTCACCTTTGAAGGCTTTTCCATTTTTGGGTGGCAGCACAGACTCATCCTCTTTGTGGTCTTTTTGGTCTTGTACCTGTTGACCCTCACGAGCAATGCCATCATCTTGATGGTTATCCGCCTCAACCGTCAGCTTCACACACCCATGTACTTCTTCCTGAGTGTCCTGTCCGTTTCTGAGACCTGTTACACCATGGCCATCATCCCCCAGATATTGTCCAGTCTCCTGAGCCCCCAACAAGCCATCTCCGTTCCAGACTGTGCCACTCAGCTCTTCTTCTAGCTCACCTTCGGCATCAACAACTGCTTCCTGCTCACGGCCATGGGGTACGACCGCTATGTGGCCATCTGCAACCCCCTACGGTACTCGGTCTCATGGGCAAAAAGACCTGTATACAGTTGGCAGGTGGATCCTGGAGCATTGGCCTGAGCACAGCCATCATTGAGGTGTCTTCTGTGTTCAGCCTGCCCTTCTATGAAGCCAACATCATCTCCCACTTCTTCTGTGACATCCAGCCCCTAATGAAGTTGGCCTGTGCTGACACCACCATCAAAGAATTTATTACTTTGCTCATCAGTCTGTACGTGCTTGTTCTGCCCATGGTGCTGATTTTCATCTATGTCCCGACGGTCTCCACCATCCTCAAGATAGCATCTGCTGAGGGCCGGAAAAAGGCTTTTGCTACCTGTGCCTCCCACCTCATTGTGGTCATCGTCCACTATGGCTGTACCTCCTTCATCTGCCTCAAACCCAAATCCCAAAATTCCCTGCAGGACAGACTCATCTCCGTGACCTACATGGTCGTCACCCCCCTACTGAGCCCTGTTGTATACAGCCTGAGGAACAAAGAGGTCAAGGATGTCTTGCTCAGAGCTTTAGGCAAAAAGCCCCTCTCTTAGGTGCTGGCAGTCTCCATAAAACTAACAGTTTGCTGAAGGGGTGCAGTGAGGGAGCCTGTCAGCTAAGAGGCACCAGGTACCTGGTCTAGGCAACAACTGGAGAGGAGGGGGATAGGGTAAAACAAGGAAGGAAAAGAATAAGAGATGGAGGGATGTCCTAAGACCAATAGATGGGCTTACCAGGCTTGGTGAAAACCAAGTAAGAGAAAGACTATTCAGGAGCTGTACTATCAGGTTAGACCTTGTTCCTTTTACCCTTGGCATAAGGGACAGTGAGCTAGTAGTGAGGATGGGAAAAATATATAGTATCTATCACAGGAATTTGTGGACTCGGAACCTGGCCTCAGCATGAAAACCAGGAGCACTGAAATAACAAGTGTTCTCCATTATTTACACATAACACTTTCTAGGCTATATTTCATATGACAGTAAAAAAAAAAAAAAAAAAAAAAAAAAAAAAAAAAATCACTCCATTCATTTACCGTGAGCCTACTCCTACCTGTGTGGACCCTAGACAGCGAGGTCAGACACAGGCTCTGATTGCCAGCTGAAAAATTGGTTGAGAAGCATAAAGCAAAAACTGTAAAAGTCGCTTCCTACATATTGAGGGTTGCAGAAGAGCCCCCATTTTTCACATCCCATCCTCCCCTCGTCCCTGGACATCTGGGTGATTTAAGGAACTCCAGCTGCTCTGCCCGGGTCTCCGCCGTGGGCTGGCACCCCCACCCTGGCCGACACAGATGCAGGAGTGTCCACCGCTCCTAGCCGCCCCTCCAGCCCTGTTCTGGACAATCACCACAGGCTGAAAGGAGGCTTTCTCAGGGGGGAACCATACCCCACTCCCACCCGGGAGGTACAAAAAGCCACCCACCATGCCTCAAGGTGGGACTAACTCTAGAGTGTTCCATCAGATCAGGCTGCAGGGAGACTGGGACTGAGACGACATCCTGGCTGAGCTCTACCCCATCCCACCTGCTTCCCTCACTCCATTTTTCTGAGTGTATACCCTCCGTCTCCCGCACGGGGGCAGGGGCAGGTTCTGCTTCAGGTCACCTGACCCATGTCAGGGGTGCCCCTATCTATCGGGCAATCACTCCGGGTCCACTGCTTGGGCGGTATCTCTGCTTCTGATGCACCTAGAACAGTGCTTGGCACAGAGCAGCTGCTCAGTAGTTAGGACAAAAAGGAAGAAAAGGAGAGAAAGAGGACAGCTATGAGCAACTAAACTACCACTGGCAACAGCAGACAGCTCTCTTCTCCCTCTTTTCCTTTTATTACTAGATGACTTTCGGGTTCTTTGTCCCCACTTGCGACAGCCCTTTTGGTACATTGACTGTATCCTACACAGCCAGCATTGATTTAAGCACTTTTTTAATCCTCACTATTAATCTAGGAGGTACATATTTTATTAAACTTATTTTACAGATGAGAAACCTAAAGCCTGAAAAGAAAGTAAATTCCTCAAGGTCACAGATCTAGTATGTGGAACCTAATCAGGACCCAAAAATAGGCAATCCAGCCCCAGAGTCTGTAGCTGCATTATGGGCTCATGATGATTATTTTAACCAGCTCTTCTCCTTTAAAATAATTGTAGAAAGAGCTCCATACATTGTGGATTTACACATAGCTCAAATCCTGCTAGAACATCCTTGGGTCTCGGAAATAAGTCTGAAAGTTCAGAAATTACATAATGTAATATGCTTCTCCCTTGAAAACCTTGGTGCATCCTTTCTCCACTCAGCACAGCCCTAAAGATGCAAAGAGTATAAAGTGGGCCAAAGACCACTGGAGGGTGACGGGGTGATAGGGCTCATGCCCATCAGATTACTAACCCAGTACCCGTCCACTTCTCCACCCTCATGACCCAAGGTAGGAGATACTTATGCAGTAATATTACAGATGGAGCCTCTATAGACTATATAGATGGAGGCTTTGTGGCCAGAGAGGTACATGTCCCAATCCTAGGCCCACCATTATAAGCATGCGTTCTAGGAAAGTGACTTAACCTAGCTGGCCTTCCTTTCCTATCTGTGCATTGGGGCCAGCAAGGTCAACCTTCCAAGGTTATTGGGAGGACATGAAAATCTTATGGGCATAACATTTCCTGCCTCATGGGAAGCAGCTGAGCTGTTAGCACCTCCTCTACTTCCCACCCCCACCACTCACTGCTCTCTAGGTCACCCTAATATGGACATGCAGCCAACTTTGACAACTGAGTTCTCAGAGAATGAGCTCCCTCTTCCTGGTAGGGACTTTGCAGTGGGCCCTCCCCCCCACCCTCATCTTCCCCTACTCAGTAGTCTCTGCTTCCATAGTTCAGCACACAAAACCTATTCTCCCAGGTTCTTGCAAGATTCACTTCCTGGCTATACCTGCTATGTGTTAATAAACCACTTCCCTTCCCTCTCAGTTCCTACCCCAGACTCCCTTCCCCTATGCTCTGCCCACTTGCTGGCCTGTCAACCACTCTCATGGTGTCATTCCCACTTTTCTCCTGGTTGCCTTGAGTCACTGCAAGAGTCCCAGGATTCAGTCCCAGGTGCAATCTTTGGATGGAGGCTGAATACACACTAACAAGAACATGTACAACTACTTTTGTACCATAATCCATTTGAAAGCACCAATTACTAAATTCATAGAAAAAAATTCTGAAAAAGAGAACTATCCATAGATACAAACAGTACAACTATATTTTTTGACTATTATAAAGCTGGAGATCCACAAATACTTTAAAATTAAAAAGGCGTTTTCGCATGTACAAAACTAGAGACCCCAGCTCTGGATGAGAAGGATAAGGTTGGGGTGTGAGATGAGACATAACTTCACTGCTATGGACTGAATCAGGTCCCCCAAATTCATAATGTTGAAGTCCCATCCTCAGTGAGATGGCATTTGGAGATGGAGCCTTTGGGAATTAGGTTTAGAAAAGGTCATTGGGGGGGAGGGGTCATGATGGGACTGGGGCCCCTTAACAAGAGACACCAGAGTTCTCACTCTCTCCACCATATGAAGACAGAGACCACTATCTGCAATCCAGAAAGCAAGCCCTCACCAGGAACTGAACCTTCTGGCACCTTGATCTGGGATTCTCAGGCTCTAAAACTGTAAGACATAACTGTCTGGTGGTTAACCACTCAGTCTACGGTTATTTTGTTAAGCAGCCCAGGCATGACATTCACGAACAATGTTGACCTCAGCTAAATCTGTGGTGAGCCCTCAAGGTTCTGAAACCCCCGTGACAATTCTAATGCATCATTAGTAGGTCTAGACCAAATTAATCCTAAATTAATGTGAATGGCATGAAGGAGCCGTGGTAAGAGCTACCAGAATCTGGCCCCCAAACAATGTGGTCTGCAGAGGTGAGGGAGTTTACAGCAGGTGTTCCTGACTGTCCGCCAGCTTTGTCTCTGTAGCTACCCCACATGCTCATTTCTGTCTCGTGCCAAAGTCCAGTGAGTTTACTGTCGACGGCAGAGTGTATTCCTCATAACCTCTCATCTGTGAAATGGGAATACTGCAGACTTCAGAGGTCATTTGAAGGACAGAGGCAAACGTGTTAAAATGTTCAATAAGTATTAGTTGATTCTGAAGCTCAACCTCTTGTTTTCACCAAGCACCACATTTTTATACCATGTACCCAAGTGCCCCATTTCCAAACTCTTCTTAATCTGTCCCAAAGCAAAGGCATCATGAAGCATTGAGCTATTTTGTTCAACTTTCCTCCCTCCCTGTTGGGATCCCATAGCCACCAATCACACCCAGTGGCTGACAATTCACAAGGGTCACTTTGGTCAACTTCTTGTTCCAATAGGAAGTGATGCTTATTTGCATGTCAGGGAGTTGGCACGAATGAACCTGAGGACTGCAGCTTATGAAATGATTGGTCCTCTCCTCTCCCTTGATCCACACACTCAGTTATAAGGCCTACCGATTCACCGCAAATGTCTCTCATGTCTGTCCGTCCTCCCTGGACCACTGCCACCCTTCTAGATCAATCGCAATTGATCTCTGGTCTGACTGTGCCATCGGCACCTTCGCTCATCTGCTGGACTCTTCTCATCAGCCCCAAACCCCCCCTCCCACAGCTGTCCCATTGATCCCACAGGGAAGCAAAGTCAGCGGACAGGAGGAGGAAGGGGCAGAACAGCTGGTGGTAAAAGCTAGCAGTCCTGAAGGGCCAGTTACTAAGGGGCTTTGAAACCCCTGAGCAGGAGGAATCAGTTAAATCACTTGAGAGGCCCTTAAAAGTGGTAAAATCTAAATACTCTAAGACCTTCTGTAGCCTGGTCTTTAGCTACAGAATCTTCTCTGTGATCAATTGGAGTCTAATCTAGGACCACCACCTCCCTGTCCCCCTTAAATGCGGTATTCACTGCAGTTTACGATCATCGTCGGTCTCCTAAACTCCGGGAGCTTCTCAAAGGCTGAAGCAGCATGGCCTCCATTCCCCACTTCCCAGCAACCAGCCTGGGGCTGGGCCATGCTTGGCACTTGAAGAATGAACAGACACAGATAAGGACACACGTTAAAGGAAGAACGTGCTAATAAGCAAGGGATAAGTTAGCTCACAGGAAGTCTTTGGGGAAAGTAAATTTGGCATTGGGTCTCAACAGGCTAGAAGTTTGCCAGATGGAGAAAGGGATTCATTCTGGGTAAAGAGAAAGAGTATTCAGCGCTCAGCTGTTTCCTGACCCCAAGAGAGGGTCCTCAGACCCAAAGAGACTGACTTCCACTTCCAAATACCGGGGAGCAGAAAGGCAGCACGGACGACCCTCCTCAGAGCCACAGCCGTGGTGGTCTACTTTTATTCCAAAGGAGAAAGCCAGATTCTTAAACTGAGCAGGGACCTAAGCTTCCTGACACACAAGTTGATAGGGCTCCCAGCTTGAATTTCCCGTGTCTGTCAACCGGGGATTTCCAAGGCACATCTGTGAAAAACCACAGTGTGCTGACGACGGAGTCTAACAAGTAAAATTCAACCGAATAAGTCCGCTTTGTCT